ATCACTCGATAAGATAATATACAAAAAAATTAATTTTTTCGTCTTAATTTCTTTTTATGTCAAGAGATGTAATTGCATATACTGAAATCAAAGTCTAAGTCAGCATGTATAAAGCGTATTTGCGCTTGTTGTATAATAATTGAATGAGCAACAACTTCGAATAAGGCTCAAATTCGTATATTGTACTAACTTATTACACACACACCCGTGACGCATATACCTTTCCAAGTGTCGCAACTATGCATCGCGATCGCTTAAAATCGTACACCCGGTTTCGTCTCGCTCTGAAAAGCGTTCATGTACGTCACTTGTACCACTTATCTCACATAAGATCCAAGTCTATCAATGCAAATGTATATAACTACAGGGCACAGAATTATAATTGAAGCTGTTGGTAACCATGATAAGAATTTAAATTTATTCTAAGTATATGTAGTTTAAAATCCAATTCCAAACAACACATACATAGATTATGCATATAGTGAATTTTATATGTTTATTTCTTATGTTTGTTCAATATAAATTTAAAGATATTATAAAAATATTATTCACAGGTGTACAATTAAATTATACTTTTATAGAAAGTTTGATTTAGTGAGCTCTTTCTCTCTCTCTCTCTCTCTCTCTCTCTCTCTCTCTCTCTCTCTTTCTAAAAATTATGAGTGCGCACGTATTTGCGTGTATCTATGTCAATGCTATCATTTTTTATTCTTTCGTCCTTGTAGCAAAGTATATATTTCTATATTACGAAGATCGATACATTTTGCATAAATTAAAAATTAATACATCTCAATAGCATAGATCAAATATGCGAAATTAAAGCGTTAGAAAGAACTTTATTTTTTAAAAGAAAGAACTTTATAACTTTATTATGAATTGTTTCTCTCTTTCTGTTTCATGCAGGAACACGCGCGCGCGCGCGCGCGTGCACACAACGCCTAAATTTTATATTTATCTACATGTTTTAAATTTTATGATAAGCGACAAAATATATATCTGAATATATGTATAGTGATTTATTACTTATGAAATAATATACATATACACAAAATTTTTAAAGATATAAATAAAAAATTATGTTTCATTCGTAATTTATCAAAAAGCAAAATTTTACCTAATTCTAACTATTTTTATTTAAAAAAAAAAGGCAAAAGATTTATTCATGTTCTGAAAAGTACTAGAGTACTTTTATTAAAAACTAAAGCATTATTTATTATATATGAAATTGTAAAAAAAAAATTAACAGAGAAAGAAATGTAAGAAAATAAATGTTAATGTAACAAAAATGAAACAAGAATGTGTCAATTATGTCACGAAAATATATCATCAAAATTTAAAGAGATGTATTAAAATCCTCCTTTTCAAATCAAATTAGAGATGGAATGCAGTTTACGACATGGTGGATATAAGAAACGATAGTTTTCACGTAAATAGATAACATATATTTATGTTATCTATTTAACGCAAACGCGCCGAATGTTTAATTATAAATATTGCATTGAAATTATAATTATTTTTGTTAGACGTTGATATTTTGATTATTAATACATTAATATTTTTATTAGTAAGTTTTATAAAGTTTCTTGATTATGAAATATAAAGAATTTAAAATAAACTTTTATTAAAAACTAATATTAAGTATTATTCATTATATTTAAAAATTAAGAAAATTATATATTTTTTTTACCGAATAATACTATGCTTAAAAATTAAAAATTAAAAATGAAAAGATTATTTCTTACGTTATTAACTACGTTTAAATTTTTAATTCTCTATTTACATTGAATTATTTTAATTTTAGACAAAATTTTTTATTTTTAAATATTAAAACCAATATTTGTTTCGGCTTTTATGTTATTTTTGAGGTAAACTCACAGAAGACATTTCTTGAAATTAGTAGTAAGGAATTTCTATACTTACTTAATAGTCGTGTAGCCAAGCGCTTAGAGAATAGGAGCTGTCCTTGCTCAAAGAAAGAGTCGAGAACTGATACCAGTTACTCGTTCATCGGAGCTCTTATAGTCCTGTCTAATCCAGCCAATCTATAGCTACGGAAGGGATTGCAGACGTTCAAAATAGCTCCCTGCTAATATTCTTTTCCGCCTATTATTTTTCATTTTCCGTTTGTCTTTCTCTCCCCCTCTCTCCCTCGTCTATTTCCTTTCTCTTTTTCTCCTTACTCTCACTCACTCTCTCTCTCTCTCTCTCTCTCTCTCTCTCTCTCTCTTTCCCCTCTCTTTCTCTTTGTTTCTCCCCTATGTAGTATTTTTTCATTGATCCACAAGACAAATTTTTGAATTTCTAATTAATTTTTTTAAAATTATTATATCAAATATTTGTTGAAATTAATAGAACTACAATTAAAAAGCAAGTTTGATATTATTAATATGACTAATAGAAGGCTTATAAAGTTACTCATAATATAGCAACGTTTTAAATAAAATTGAAATTAATTTCTAAAAATAAGCAATTGTCATTAACATTGCACGTAAAAACAAATAAAGATGTAAATAAACTTACAAATAAAAATGTTGAAAAAAACAAGACATTTAAATTATACATATATTTCCAATCATATTATTTAAATTATACATACAATATCTATTTTACGATATCTATTGATCACAAGATATGTATTCATTATATATATTATTGTAATTTACATTTATACAACAAATTAGTTGAACAAAAATAATACTTAATGTCACTTTGTTAAGATTTTATCAAAAACAGAGTTATGCATTATAAAAGAAATTTAGTTGATTATTTTTCTACTTTATTTTTCTACTCTTTCTAGATACATATACGTAATTCTACTGTGATCAAGAAAAATATTACACATGTATTTTTTTCCAAAAATTTAAAAAATTTGGACTTTTTTTCTTATAATTTTATACAATGATTGTAAGATTATACAAAATCTTATGTATTTACTTACGAATGGATTGCATGATTATATATCGATTTCTATCCTTGCAATTCTTCTTTGTAGAATTAAGGAAGTGTTGATTACATAAAAATAAAAAGAGTACAATTTAGATGAATTTTCTTTTAGTCTTTGCACTTAGAAATATCGGTCAAGCATGTGATCATATCTTACAAAAAATATATATAATTTTTGAAACATTTTATAATTGTACTGAATTATTTTATCAAAATTTAGAACTCAAATTGGCTAGCTGATTGTAAATTGCCGTTATGCGCATTATCTCATTTGTCTTCTTCCATCATGCACGCGCTGTAAGTGTATAGCGGACACACCCTAAATAAATCGCAGAATAATACATAACTTCACGTAACAATATCATCAGATTACATTTTAAAAAACACTAAAACCATTCATCCGTTTTTATCATCAAATCAAAATACACGGTGCGAATTTATATGGTTTATTATGATTTTTTGATGAGTACGACGTGCATTTATTCATCATAATGAATACTTTCTATATTCTTTACATCAGTAAGTGCGGATTATATAATTACTGGTATAATTTTATATATTTAAAAAATAAATGACATTTTTCTATTCTAACCAAAATGCCGTTTTCCAGTCATAGTGATATTTGGAATATCTGATTGTGAACGGGTTCATAAAATCCCAATCAATACAGTAAGTTTTAATGCATTTTTTATTTGCTAGAAGTTTTTTTAATAATTGTCAGATTTTAATATTTTCAACTTATTAAAAATATAGTATTATTATTGTTGTTAACAATATTTGACATTAGGGAAATGTACAATTCGAAATTGAATTTTAATATTTTCTTTTTCTATTTAAAAAGCAACATGTATGTTTAATCATTAAAGTTAAATTTATTTATGAAAATATTTTATTCTTGATTTTTTAATTATAATAAAAATGCATACGTATAGCCATTCATATTAATTTTTGTCAGTTTAGCTCATTCATGTTTGCATGTTTCGCACATTGAATGAAATGCATATGTAATAGCTTGTTTTACATTTAATTTATTAATGTATATTGATTTATGAATTATTAATAAAAAAATGTTATTAAATTCAAAAAAATTTTTTCTTTTTCTTTCTTATTTTCTATTTTATAATAATATAATTATAATAACAATAACAGAATAATTAGTATTCAATACTTGAATAGAAGAATTACAATAAAAATGCATTTACGCTTAAAGTAGTGACAGAAGACATGTTGGTTAGGTAATAGTATTGTTTTTTTTTTTTAAGTAGAATCAAAGAAATATGCGTCATATTAAAGACGGTAATGGTCGAGGTGTTTTACCAAATACTTTTTACAGAAGAAAGTTATTATTGAAAAAACAAGTAACATCGCGCAGAAAGCGGCACAGGAAGCGAAAGCCGCGTCCGCAGCACAGAATATCGCTGGTCAACAAGCAGCTCGTCAGGTACTTAATTAGTTTTTTGAAAATATATTTTGCTTAAACATTTAGCAACAATACATATATGATGAAACAAAGAAAAAGCCGATGTAAGCCGATACAAGTTATTTGTGTGTAAATATACGTTATAATTTAATTAAATACGAACGTTTCAACCCTGGTATTAGGTCTTTTTCTGTGTAACTGAATATGGTGATAGCATAGTGTTGCAAAATTAATTTGTATAATATTCGAGTCGTTAAATTAAACTATGTCAATATTTGAAATCTTTTAAGTCGTCTGTTGTATTTTACCGAATAAAACAAATCATGTTAGAAATATTTCACTAAAAAGAAAGTTAAAATATAGTCAAATTAAAAGTATTATAAGTCAAATTTGATAAAAACCTTACATGAATTCTGATTAACGATGATCTGTTATAAATATGATGTGACTGCAGAGATGAGAGAGATGAGAGAGATGTCATTACTAAGTGAGAGATCAATTCACAATGAGATAAAAGTGTGAGAATATTCCAATAAACAAAGTTCTAGTAACATATAAATAATAAATATTCAAATTTTTAAAACATGGAATCTTCAATCACAATACAATAGATTCAATAAGTGTCGTTTTGCACATTAAATCCATTTTTTGTTTTTTGATAAAAATAGGCTTTGAAATTAGTCTTTTATAAGTAACTTCTTCTTTCCTCATCTAGTATCATTATGTTGTTGCAATCAAACTCATGGTTTTCATGCTCAACACTATGTTCTGTTGATAATCGACTGTGTTATGGTATTTCTATTAATGTGTTTTGATGTTTGCTAATTCTTGTCTTTAACAATCTTTTTGTTTGTCCACGTAGAATGTGTTACATTCCTGACAATTAACTACATTAGATCGAGAGTAAGTTGGTTATTTATCCTTCTAACTTTTTATGAAGGAGCTTAATGTATTGATATCCGTAGGCCAATTGTATAAATTGATTATCTCTGAAGAATCTTTTAAATTTATTCGAAATGTACCGTACGTAAGGTATTGTAAAAAAATTAAACCTTCCCCCTATTAGATCTGTTTTATTTATTCCTGTTCGAATCTACTACTAAATTATCAAATTGTTAGAACTTGAAAATTAATCATTTTTTAATAGTCTTGAAAATTAAATTCAACGAGTATCTACTTCTTAATAATATTTTAATAATGAATTCAATATTTTTATTATGGAACATAGGATGTAATAATAGTAATACTCTGTCAATTAAGATAATTGTTCTTACTTTATGACATAGCGGATGAAAAAAAGTTTAAATACCTCAAAAATAGGTTTTTAATATTAATCGTATATTAATTTATTATCATTTTTTATTAAGATCAAATCTAAGAAATTTAATTTATCACTTCCCACCTCTATTATAAAATTAATTTGGGATGATATTCATTAAATGTATTTAGTAAAGTATCAATTTATTCTGTTTTTGAGTAGATAGAACAATATTATCCACATATCTGTAGTAAAAATCTAGGGGAAATTTTAATTTATTAAGTGAACCTTTTCCAAATCTTGCATAACCATATTAGTTGCTACGGGGGATATGGATATCCCAAAAGATTATTTGTAGAATTTATTATTAAAAGTGAAATACATAGAGAGTTGAGCACTAACCTTATTGCGTCAAAAAATTCATTTTTCGATATATTAATATTGTTTTCTATATTTAACTTTCTTTCTACACTCTCAATGACTAGATCTACCGGAACGTTGGTGAAAGAGATACTACGTCGAATGAGACAAGGACGGAGTTATCCAACAAATTTATTTGAGATAACTCATTAGCTAATTGGAAGCTATTTTTTACATCCTATCGATTTTTTTTTATATACATCTAAAATCTTATGTAAAAAAACTACTAGTATATGCAATGGACTTCCTATGGAAGAAACAATAATACGTAATGGATTACCTATCTTGTGGATTTTAGGACAACCGTATGCTCTCGATAATGTTGCATTAGATGAATTAAGAAAATTGTATGTCTGATCGATTACGAATTCTTGCTACTTCCATGTCTTCAACAATGTTTTTAAATCCCCCAATACTTTATTGATTAGATTGCGCTTTAAGATAGTATATCCGTGTTGCTTAGTAAAATTTCCATTTTTTTAATATAATCTGATTTATCAATCGCAACTACTACATTTCCCTTATTGGCAGGCGATAATAAAATTTGTAAATTGTCTTTAGTAAATTGTGTAATTTGGTCACAGCTAAGGAATCTAATATCTCATCATCAGTGTTCTGTTAAATTTTTAATATTTTGTAAGTATGGATAAAACTTGTTTTTGAATGCATTTACTTTATTGGTCTTTAGCTTTGATAAATTATTTTTTATATGTTTAATAAACTCGAACGTGATAGATTCTATGTTGCAGAGAGGGAGACAGAAATTTTCAGTTGTTATAAATTTTGGACTTTTGCCGGAAAACTTACACTGGAGAGATTTATAAACCAATTATTGTTGAATATTCTAAATTCTAAATTCAAATTTGTTTTGATAATATTTAGACGGATTTAATTCCATTTTAAAGGTATAATTATTAAGTAATTCAAACTGGCTTTTCAAAACTATTTTTAGAAAGTGT